GTGAAATTCCAATAGAAATAGAAATAGAAATAATCTTTATTCAAATAAATTCATTACAAGCACTTTTGAATAGTCATATTTTGATTCTACCACTCATTCGGAATGCAGATTCATCACAAGAAGAATGAGCAAGAAACTTGTGTGTTGCTCTTTTTATGTGTATGTTTAGTATTATTCATTTTATTAGATACTATTTTTTTTTTATTGAGGGATTTGGGCTATTGTCAGGTGCTTAGACCTGTAGCAGTGTGACCTACATAGATCTTTTATGCTCGTCCTGTCCCGTCAGGGACAAGAATTAAAGGATATTCTTAGGAGCGATGGTTTTTATCTCCTCAGGATGGAATATGAACTTTCCAAAGGAGATATTACGTTTAAGCATAAGTGGACTACAACCACATAGGATGTGTAGTGGCGTTTCCTCTTCAGTTTGGCAAATTGAAGAGGAAATAATAAAAGTATTAGATACTAGCTATGCCCGCGATTTCATTCGCGTGGAATAGTGACCTTGACAAAAAAAATTACTTAATAATTTAACCCAAAAATCCAAAGAAAAATAGTTCATCGTTTCAGCTTCAAAAATGACGAATTTCCATAAAAACTTCATCCCCTTATTTTAATTTAGCCCTCTTAAAGGTAACAGTTTTATAAACTTTGAATGTCATATTTATTTATATTTAAATAACAAGCTAAAAAATAGGTTTCAATTTTCTAGCTTTAAAAATGACGATACTTCCTCATAACCTTTCATCTCCACTTTCAACCCCTAACAACCCTTTTTTTCGCAATAAAAAGTAGCCTATGTAGAGTCTAGACTATCAGTGTACCAAATTTCAATTAAATCGGTTAAATAATTTTGGACTGAAAGCAAGACAGACAGACAGACAGACAGAGTGACTTTCGCATTTATAATATTAGTAAGGAAGTAAGGATTATTATTAGATAATACTCATTTTTATTCTGAACTTTAAAGTTATATCGCATAAGGGCTATTTTGATCGAAAAACATTGTATATTCAGGAGGTGCCTACTCCTCAACCCACTCTTGGAGCCACACGTGATGTTACTAAGCTTCATAAAACAGAAGTTTACAACCGGGACGAAATTGATGTAATTGGCCTGTTGCAGCCTCACCGGCCGCTATTTTCGTCGGCGCGATATAAACTATCTTCATGTTAAATTTCATTGAGATTGGTTTTGCCGTTTACCCGTGAATAGTAACTGTTCAGGTGCGGTTGTACTATATTTGGCCCAATATATTATTTTAATATAGCAACCCTGGATCGATGAACGTCGGTATTTCAGCGGGCCAGAGACAATACGCGAACCGTTACAAGTTCATATTCGATCATATTATTATACGCATTATCATACGCAACCATTGTAAACCACTATCAAGTTAATTAAAAATCTAGCCAGGAAGCTCCGAGTTTGATTACACTATCAGGACCCTCTTCTCACTAAAAGGCGCAAACAGTAACAAACAAACAGACTTTCACATTTGTAATGTTAGTATTACTCTAACATTTCTTATTTTACCACTGGATAATTCACTCAACGTCATCTAGTCCCAAGGTAAGCAGATAATTTATTGGTACTAGATAACTGATATAGATACTGAGATATTTTTTTTATATTTACATACATAACATCCATAAAAAGCATCCAGACCAATACAATCATCAATCCAATGTTTGTACTGTGCGAGGAATCGAACCCGCAACCATCGCAAGTAAGGCGGCGTCTTAACCTCTAGACCACCGAGACCGTCAAAACAGTAACATTTCTTCTACCCTATACAATTGTATTTTGCAAAAGAGGGCCATCCGCTCCATTTACGGTATGGGTTCCAGGTAGTCTCTGCGTAAATGTTTTAAAGAATGAAATATCCTCACCGTTGCTTCTCAATACATCTACGAAAATATTACGTATGCTAGGAAAAACATTAACAGTTTTAAAAAAGTAGGTGATTACACTAATAAAAGCTTACGTAATGTCAACAAACTAGTTTTACCTAAGTGCCGTTTGACGAAAGTTAGTAATTCTCTTTATGGAAATTGCGTAAGGTTTTACAACTCCCAGAGTCTCAATTTGCCAGAAAAAAAATTCAAATGTGTCATAAAATATTTTCTTTGTTAAAAAGCTTATTATAAAATTGAAGAATTTATAATAAATGATAATAATGATTTAGTAGAAAATATCTAACATAAAATTTATAGCGCTGACAATGTTATCTGATTGAACAGAGATTAAGTGCGTAGCGACTTCTATGTTGATGGTCGCATGCCTAATCCTTGTTGTTAATTAAATATAAGTAAATCAATATTTATTTAAAAGAGCAACACACAAGTTTCTTTCTTATTCTATTTGTGATAAGTCTGCATTCCGAATAAGCGGTAGAATAAAAAAACTTGACTATTCAAAAGTGCTTATATTAAGTTTATTTGAATAAAGATTATTCCTATTTCTATTTCTATTTCATACACAAATTTCCTGTATCACTCTACATATGTATATAAATCTTAATAGTATATACCTATCTCACTCTAAACGTGAATTCCTTGAATATGTCTGGTATTTTGACCCGTAACTAATTGCGTGGTTCGCTTAGTAATAAGCTCGCCTATCTCTCGGAATCTAGGTTAGAGTGGTAGTAACTATTAAGGGTAGGTATTGCATTCTAATCCACGACATAGCAATGCACTGACAATAACCCAGAATAAGAATTTAATAATTTAATTCATAATCTATTGTAATTATATATGCCAATAATTCCAATGAGATGTTTATTTTAATTTAATTACTAATTGTTTAACCAGTTGGTTAAATATTCAATATTTTTTCTATTTAAGTATTTAATTGAATTAGTGCTAATTGGTGGTTTGTATTCACACACTTAAACTTAAAAATGTAAAGTAATAATAAAATTATTTAAAAGAGCAACACGCAAGTTTCTTGCTCGTTCTTCTTGTGATGAGACAGCTTTCCGAATGAGCGGTAGGTTAAAAAAATGTAGTGACTATTCAAAAGTGCTTCAATGTAAGTTTATTTTAATAAATGATTTTCTATTCTATTCTATTCTTTTTCTACTATGATAATCAGAATGACAGAAATGTATTAATATATAAAAAATACAAAAATTTGCACGCCTGTATGCAGGCTGAATACACTGGTCATTATATTTAATATTGTATACACCTGTTCAGTGAATAAATGATTTGATTTGATTTGATTGATTGATTGATAGATATAAATGCAATTCCAATGCAATTTAGATCGCTATTAATAAAAAAAATCTGCTCACAAAATGCGTATTAAATCGTTTGCTTCTAATATATCTATAGCATTGTGTATTTCCATATAAGTGCGTTATAATGGTTATAACACACGAGGCAAAATTTGCGCCCGCGGCGAAGGCGAGAGCGTAATAGAGCCGAGTGTGTTACATACGCACGTACTCGTATTTCCTACGACGTTCTTCAACACACTTGATTTTAATAAACTCAACCATTAGTGACGACCTCGGTGGTCTAGCGGTCAAGCACACCGCTTTACGTCCGATGGTCGCGGGTTCGATTCCTCGCACGGCACAAACATATATATTCATGACTATTGTTTTTGATAGTCATGAATACATATGTTTGTTTTGTTGATTGATTGTTTGTATCGGTCTGCAACACAACAGCCCAAATGATAGGCCGGTTGCGGAAAATGGAGTCCAACTTACATTACATTACATAGCCTGGCTCTACACGCACAACAGCCCAAATGATAGGCCGGTTGCGGAAAATGGAGTCCAACTTACATTACATTACATAGCCTGGCTCTACACGCACAACAGCCCAAATGATAGGCTGGTTGCGGAAAATGGAGTCCAACTTACATTACATTACATAGCCTGGCTCTACACGCACAACAGCCCAAATGATAGGCCGGTTGCGGAAAATGGAGTCCAACTTACATTACATTACATTACTTCCAGACATATATAAGTTTAAAACCTAAAACCTAAATCGTTAAACTACTGGGACCGTCCATTTTACTAACTTTATTGGTTAAGTTAAACTGAAGCATATATTTAGTTAGTTGTTTAATTAAATTAACATATACAATTGAGCAGAGTTAATTAAAAACTGGACGATTTACTCTGTGTTGAGTTCCCACTTCAGAGCTGTTACAATTTAAAAGCATTTAAGTGTCGGCTTTGAGTTTGTTATAAAACTTTTCCATAATTGTTTTAGACTAATTAATTATGTAATTAATTTCGGTGATTCATCGTTTTGAGTGATTGCTATATAATTTGAGAGATATAGGAATGTAGTTATAGATTTATGTAATAATTAGCTGTACACGCGACTTCGTCCGCGTGGAAAATAACTTTATTTCTCTAAAATAAATTATTTTTTTAAATAAAAATAGCCCCGTCAAAATCGGTTCACCCATTTCAGAGATTAGCCGGAACAATCAGATAGTCAGACAGACATAAAATGTAAAAAAAATATTTTGGTGTATGTACCGTATTCATGTGCACATGCATGTGTAATATTGAAATAATAGTTTTTAAAAAACGATTATTTCAATATTATATACAGACACTCCAATTTTATTTATATATATAGATGTATACATAACAATAATCCTGCACAATTCACACAGAGTAGTCTAGTCTTAAGCTAAAATAATTTACAACGATAATATTTTTATATAAAAATATATTTTGGTTTCATTTCTGCAATATATAGAATGTTACATTAAAACAAAATTTATAAGAAATATACAGAATCTACATAACACATTTGTTGGATGTACTAAGAAAATAGCAATCTTTTTCTATCCCAACTTATTTATATTTATAACAATACAGTTAGAAAAATAAATGTTCATTTAATTACACTATTATTGTATATATTTCTTCATTAAACATAATTTAACTAAAATATACCCCTTTTAAACTATCACAATTAATATTTATCACATTTTGAGGAATTATTTTATTAAATTTATCTTTCAACCGCATCACCGTTACTATGTTCCTCACTATCACTGAAGATTGCATCTAAAACTTCATCCTCGACATTATCATTACCTTCGGTTCCATTTAATATATCATCAATAACTTGGTCGTCGTTTGATGAAACATGTTCATTATTCAATGATGATTCATCGACATCAGCATTAAGTGATTCCACTATCGATATCGATTCATCATCTTTAGAATCCGTTTCACCATTTTTACCTATGTCATCTACTTCTTCCTCTTCAGATATTTCTCCTAAAGAACCATTTACACCATTACTATTGACACCATTTACTAAATGTTGTTTGTTACTATTAAAATCAGCAGGAACTGTTGTTGATTGTTGATTCTTTACTTCTTTTTTATCTTGTTTACCATTTTCGCTGAAATATTCTTGAATTTCTACACGTTTATTCTCTTTTCTAGGGTTAGCAGCGTCAAATACAACACTGTCGTCCATTCTTACAGATGACTGCTCCGGGAATTTATCTCTGAAAATGAACGTGATGTATTTAAACATAGAAAATATATAAGACAGCTCTTTGTACTTGTAAAACAAAGCCCAAATTATCATCTTGAGTCCAAATTAAATTTGGACTCAAGATGATTTATCGTTAAGCTGAAAATTATATAAAAGTCCGTTGATTCATTTAGAAGTAAGAGGAGAAACAGACAAATGAAAACAGCGACGGCTTTTAGCTATTTATAAATTTTTTCAACATCGTGATAACCTGATTATTAATTTATTTATGTGTTTATATGGTAATAGTTTTTTACTTATGTTTATCCTCGTATTTGCTGGGCACCATGAAGCAGTTCGACTCTCGATATATAACTCTTCTTTTACTGACCCATGGCCACTGCAGGCTCCAGTAGGAATTCTGAAATTCAACAGAAGAGAATTAAGAAAAATCTCAACCTATTTAAAAGCAGTATTATTTTTTTATTTAACACAAACGATAAATAGACTGATGCCACTTTGAGTGGTCTCATATTATCAAGTACTGATCTGACGGTCTGTGCTGATGACACAGTTTAATCAGAACACGTCTATACAGGGCGGGACATAGCAATTAATGAGACATTTGAACATGACAATGTGAAACAATAAACCATCGCCTATATACATGTACAACAGCATGAATATGACGTTGTATGTATTTGAATCTAACGAAGAAGGTTAAGCCAACCGGCTGAACAGACATCACTAAAATTTGACTTGAGTATAGATTGCACCTGGAAAACGGTCACAGGCTTACTTTTGTCAGAAAAAAGGCTGAAAACATCAAATATAAATAAAAGTACACTTACAACTTTAGCGTGAACTTGTCTCTTCAGGGCCTTCTCCTCTTCAAGTCGTCTTTCCTCGTCACTGTCATATGCCTCATCCTATAAAAAAATACCATTCAATTATTATTACTATTATTTTAGCCCTATTTAATTCCTTAATTGCATTTAAGGACTTCTCAATTAATAAAGGCTTCCTCCAATTTGCTTCAATGATTTCTTCAATTGCTTCTGCTATCCAGTCCTCACCAGATATTTTACGAATCTCGTCTAACCAGAGGTGATTTGGCCTTTCAATAAAGATAGATAATGCAGATAGATAATTTACAACCCCAGATCCGGAGAGCAGTCGTTTGTCTTGGCATATAATGTCTAGGAATGAAGAAAACTAAAAAATAAATGTTGTATAGGAGTTGTTATAAGGGTGATAAATGCCAAAAACGAAATGGACTGTGTGAAAGATGATACAAGAAAGAATCAATAACAAGATAACAGCAAACGAATGAATGGAATATGAAAATATATTACGTCGACTCTAATTGATGTGGGAAAACGTAAGGCAAATAATGTTAGATTATATTCCATACTTAGTCCAAGATAACTTTATGTATCGTCACCTTCTAGTCCTTGTCGAAGAGTATGGACTAGATTGTTCATAAACACATAAAGGAAAACCACTACCTGGTAATATTAAACATCAATGTCTTAATAATGTCTAGAGATGCTATATCATGAGGAGTTGCGAAGGTAAATAATTATATTTATTAACTTTAAGGAACCCTAGAAATCCTAGGAAAAAAAGAAAGGATACCCTATGCTATTTTGGACTAAATATTTGATATAATCAAGATCGACTTCACTTATTTAGATAAGTTCGTTTAACGTTATAATAATATACTAAATTTACACAAAGAGTACTTTTCCAAATTCACGTCAGCAATGACTCGAAATGGATATATCGAGATGCATATCAAGTTTCATTTTATCGAAATGAAGCATATCATTACTCATTTTACATAGCATAAAACAAAGTCACTGTCGCTGTCTGTCCGTCCCTATGTATGCTTAAATTTTTAAAACTACGCAACTGATTTTGAAACCGTTATTTTTAATAAATAGAGTTATTCAAGAGGAAGGTTTATATATATAATACATGTACACCTGTGCGAAGCCAGGTCGAGTAGCTAGTATCATATAAATTTAAAAAAAGATCCTAATTCAATTTACAACGTAATAGTCTCAGTTAAAGCGATGCAGTCTGAAAGATTAATAAATTGAAGTGCCAATGGGACGCCAAATGGCCCGAGGAGTCTATAACCTTTAGGGAAATTACCTGAGTGGAGACCGAGTAATGACAGAAGCTTGCAAGCTATCAATTTCAAGTGTCTGCAGATCGTTTCTTCTGATATACGAGACTATCTATACACTGTGGCCTTACTCGGCGTACATTTATTGTCTAGAACAATGCGTACAAGATAATCTATCATAGGAATGAAGAGAATATTTTAAAGAAAGATGTAAATTTGAATTTGGATAATTATAAGGGCAGGAGAAGAGCAGGAGAGATGGGTGCATTATGTGAAAGTGGATATGGTAAGAATAGAATAGAATAGAAAATCATTTATTCAAATAAACTTACATTGAAGCACTTTTGAATAGACATCACATTTTTTTAAATCTATCGCTCATTCGGAAAGCTGTCTCATCATAAGAAGAACGAGTAAGAAACTTGCGTGTTGCTCTTTTAAATAATTTTATTCTTTACATTTTTAAGTTTAAGTATGTGAATACAAACTACCAATTAGCAAAAGAAAATATTGAATATACAACCAACTGGTTAAACAATTAATAAGAGGAAATCAGTCGTAGTGATTAGAGCAGACCAGTCCCTACAAGCAGCACCCCTTCACGAGTACAACGAGAGTATAAAGGAAGTAAATGGAACAGAAAAACATATTATACCGACCCCAATTTTTTTTAAGTGGATGATAATAAAATGATGCACCCGCCTGCGCTAACGGTTTACGCTGGCAGGGCACCAGTGGAGGATGATATGGTGAACATGAAATCAGGTCAGTTAGCCCATCGTGATAAGTTCACCGGGAATATATCACGATGGTTTCCAGGGGGAGCCGCGTGGAGGCAATCTGACATGGTACATTGTTAGCAATGGGATCATCAGTCCACATTACTAACAATGCCCTTCCCTTTCGCCAACCCCAAATTAAGGAAGAAGCAAATGATGATAATCATTTCCTAAATGATGTCGAGTGTAAACTTTAGTTTATCCAGTATAAGGAACCGGGCTAGTAAACTAAACTGGGTACTAAGGAATTGATAGATTTTTTTTCTTAAATACATCTTTATCTCTACATATAACGAAGTTGTAAAATAATATCGAAGGGAAATCTGTCTGTTTATCGGTTTGTGACCTAAAATTTCGTGTAAAAGCTGATGCTGGATTATGAGTCAACAGTCTATGGAAAGTTGAGGAGTTAAAATTTTAAGTCTTAGTGCTCTAGCTGTTTGGCTTACTTTCCTATGGTTACGAGATTAAAAAACTTCCAGACAATGCATCAGAACTGCAAGTTTGCACTTATATCCGGAATCCGCTAATGGCGTAACTTTGCTAGCGTCGTTTGTTTAAGTTAAGTTCAATCTTTCTAATATCTTTACTTAGTGGATGCTTACGTAATACTTGTAACATATTAGCCTTGGTGGTCTAGCTTAGCAGTTTAGCATACTGCCCACAAGTAGGGCAGTATGCTAAACTGGGTTATTTTGATTAAATGTATTTAGGTATTTGTATTACTTGTCTAGTACCTATAACACAAGCTCTGTTTAGCTTGGGAATAGATGGCGCTGTGTAAATTGTCCTGGGTTATTATTATTAATTATGTATATAAGTACAAATACATAGACACATTTAATAAGGCACCTAGTGATATTTCTTACATCTCTTTGGCGTGTTTTAAAAATAATCCGAGGAACTGATAGATTCGCAAACATTGTATAGCTTTTATTTTTAAATCTTTTAAAATTTAAAGACTTTTGTACAATCTAAAAGGACATGCCAGTCCCATTGTAACCCTAAAATTAATTACTCTATTACCTCGACAGTGAACAAATTGGCTTAACCGCACTATCTGAAGGATCGACTAAAACAGTTTGTATCGCACCAAGATCTAATATATTTGTTCTATGGTCTGACGTTATTGTATGTCGTAGATTCTCGTTCCTGACACACTCCATCAGTAAATGATATACATCCTTTATTGTACCACATACTTCACAGTTTTGTGAATTGCTTTTTTTCATCAGGTATGCAAATTTTGCTGATGGATGATATCCAGAATAAGATAATAATAATAATAAAAAAAAAACCATAGAAAGCTGAGTGAAAATAAAAAAAAAAAAATAATAATTTCAGGACAATTAACACAGCGCCCAGACCCAAGTTAAGCTAGCTAAAGCTTGTGTTATGGGTACTAGAAAACTGATATAAATACTTAGATAAATTTTTTTTTCATAATAAGGAGTAACTTAGGCTACTTTTATTTTATAAAAATAAATTTAAATTCCACGCGGACGAAGTCGCGGGTCCAGCTAGTTTAATATAGAGCAGCGTAGTATTATTTAGTACCTAGCATTAGAATAGAATAGAAAATCATTTATTCAAATAAACGTACATTGAAGCACTTTTGAATAGTCATAACATTTTTTTTTAATCTACCGCTCATTCGGAATGCTGTCTCATCACAAGATGAACAAGCAAGAAACTTGTGTGTTGCTCTTTTAAATAATTTATTCTTCTTTCAATTTAAGTTTAAGTGTGTGAATACAAATTTCATAATTTACCTTCGGCATTTAAATAACTAGGACCATTTTACTGGTTATGCCGTTTATAAACGGACGAATTATACAAAATGGCCGCAACGTACTGCCAACAGTAAGGTTAACTCAAGTCGCAACCGAGAAAATTATGTTATTATAATTTTTTTTGTATTTTCTCTTCTGGTAACGTCTTTGTGTGTATTTTGATTAAAATTTGGAGTTACAGCTTTACTTACTACGAAATTCGGTGGCTATATGACCCGCGATATTTCGTCTGCATCACACTTACTTGACATTTATCGTTATATTTCACCCAATATACATAATATCTTTTAAAATTATAGCCTATGTATTATTCTGATGTATAAGCTATTTTACTGTAAAGTTTCATCACAATCTATTCAGTAGTTTGAACGTGAAAGAGTAACAAACATCCATCCAAACTTTTGCGTTTATAATATTACTTGCTACTCGCCCCGGCTTCGCACGGGTGTACATGTATTATATATATAAACCTTCCTCTTGAATCACTCTATCTACTTAAAGAAACCGCTTCAAAATCTGTTGCGTAGTTTTAAAGATATAAGCATGCGGACGGACAGACAGCAAAAGTGTCTTTGTTTTATACTATGTAATTATTGTTTTACAGAGAAAGTGTTTTATATGACATTTTAAAACTTTTTTCAGAAAGATTTAGAACAGACTCTGGTAGTTTGTTTTGAATCCTTACACAACCTCCTTGTCGCGTACCAAGCAGTAACAAAACGCAACACAAAAGGAGCGTTTTGATTGGACCGCACACCCATCCAATTTAAATACGCAATGTAACGAACTTTGTTACAGTAAAAGTAACAGACTTAAAATATCAACCGACCGATCTAACGTACTTTTGTTCACTCCACCAAAATTGTAATTTATCACATATTAGCTATTAAATTGAAGACTATAAGCAAATCTATCATTTCTAAAACCCTGTAATCTCCTGATATATAACCTCAACTAACATCTGACATTCGAGCCGCATCATCACGTACCAATTACCATAAAACGAATTACTAATAATAATAATAATTGTTCAAAATCTACCCTGTATCATCGTAAGCACAGATATTATATTATATTAGAGTCCCCAGTTTTCTGTGAAAGCGCGTCAATTTTAAACCGATCGGGCTCTTCCCCTCCCTAACTAGTAACAAACGGACTATACAGCTACTATGACGCGCGCGCATTGTGTTGTGAATTAAAATAAATTAGAACTGTGTTAACCTACTGTGAAACCTACTGTGAAGCTCTAAAGCTAGCGCAGATACCTTCGAGACCCTGAAGCCCAAGAAATCCGCAGAACCATAAAGGTAAATGACTGACGCTTCCCTAACATTTTGTAACAACAGTAGTTTCCCAAACAATAATAATAAATTTATTTTATTAACATAGATGTTTTACAATTTTTTTTTATATATCAACAATCACATATTCTTATATTTCTTATATATTTCCTTAAGTCCGTTGGGATCTCCTTAAAGCATAATTAAATACTTGTGATAGGAGTTCACGCTCTTCTAGGGATTTATTATTATATTAAAATTTTTTTATTGTACACAAGACTGTGTGTGTGTGTGTGTGTGTATGTATGTATGTAAGTGTGGAAGGGTGTTGGGTGCAAATGTATGTTTATTAAAATATTAAAATTACTAACTTTAGCTAAATGACATTTACGTAAAACCAATTTATTATTATTATATAAGCTTTTACTAATGTAATCTAACTAACTAACTCTTTTGAAATTATCTATTTTTTATATATTTAGCATACATTTTTTTGATATTTTCGTAAATTAATAATAATCTAAATATATTATTCAATACAACATAGTGATCTATCGACAATATATTTCGAAAATTTGTGTTTGAAAAATGACGTAGGCATTTGTTAAGAAAGGATTTTGATTAATTCTAAATGGGGATAAAATAGAATGAAAGTTTGTATGAAACTTTGTCAATTTTAAACCGATCGGGCTCAGACTTTGCATGCATAAAGCTACTATGACATAGGCATGCCCTAAGAAAGGATTTTGATGAATTCCACCCCTAAGGGGATAATAACGCGAGCGAAGCTGCGGGCAAAAGCTAGTCTAAAATAATACTCACTAGAGGGTCCTCGTAACAACAGTAGCTGTCCTCTTCATCTTCAGGTCTGAAAATTGGAAGCAATATTATATTATATAGAACTAGGTCTTATATTATAGAGGTCCGTTTCATTGCTTAATAGATTTGTAATATTTTGTTTAATTAACCAACTAACGGTCGCTGTACGGAATTGAGTATAGGCAAAATTTTTTTTATTTGTACACACATACTCGGTATTCTAATTGTAGGTTATTATTTTTTTAAAGACAGTCATTCATTCTATGAGTAAAAAAAAAGTAAGCTGAGGGTACTTTCGAAAAAGTTAACTTTACGAGTTGTCAAAGTTTTGAATTTTTAAAGTCACTACGGGTAAGTTTTCACATTGTTATTTTTTTTATATTTAGATCTATTTTTTTGTTTTTCGGTTATAATTCTAAGTAAATAAATATGATTTATTTCTTTGAATACAAGAAATGACGTCGAAATATATTTTGAAAAGTCTTGTTTTGAAAAATTTCACCTTTAAGTGGCCAGTATACTCATTTGAGTATACCCCTGTAAAGTGCTAAAAATTAGAACATTTTTTTTCTCTTATTTTATGTCCGTATATACTTTGTAGTTATGATTGCAATAAAGCGAAACCTGAAAAAAACCTTGTAGTTTTTGTTTGGCCATTAATGGGTTAAAGAAAGAAGAAAGAGAATGAAAGAAAATTGTTTATTTGGTACATAGCAATACTGAAAATAATTTTTAAACTTTAATTTACATTTTATCGGTTTATATTAATTTTATAGTACCAAATAGCATATGTCGTGACGGGGTGCCACGACACTGATATTCTGCGGATACCTTCATTGATAATAAATATAATAATACACCTACAGACAAAAATCTAGGCGGATAACATAGAGTAAACATTTACGACATACTACCATATATAACTACTACCATTAGCATGTGTGAGACCACGAATATCCAGTGCGGAAACTTGATCAAATCCACTGGAAGGATGGCCTTACGGCCTCCCCATTAGTGATAAAACTCCTCATTCATTCATTGATTTAAGAGCTACGCTCTTGTCAGTGGAGCCTTTGCCACTTTCCGCGTTCTTCCATCATGCTCTTTAAACGTTGATACGACACGACTCCCATTTTGTCTTCAATTTGTTTTATGTACCTGTGCCTTGATCAAACTCCTACCGTTAGCGAATCTAGGAACCCTAGTGATGACTATTGTGCATCGTAGCCTTGTCCCGAATAATCAACACTAGGCTTCCAAGCTATATCTGAACTCTAATCATTACCTAATTATGCCTCGTTTAGATGCGTAACACGTATAATACACTGATAATAAACGGATTTTGTTGAAACTTTACAGTGATATAGCTAACATCAGAATATCATGTAGCATATAAAATTCACTCGGATGAAACCGCGAGCACAGGTAGTGTATAATATAAATATTCAATGGATTTTATAATAAAATGTCACAGGAATAATACACGAATAACTGCGAGAAATGCCTCGAATATCCAACTATACAACAAAACCACAATCCAATTGAAGCGAGTCGTTCGTAAATGCACGCTCGCCCGACTCACATCATGTCCTTCACCTTTTATGTTCCATTTAACCACATAATACGTTAGGAATGTGAATAATAATTGATTACAGGATAAAAAGATTCATAATAATATTCAATAAATAATAAATAAATAACCCTGGATAATAAACACAGCGGCATCCAGTCCCAAGCTACGCAGAGCTTGTGTTATGGGTACTCTATTTACAAAAAAATATCTAAGTAAATACTTAGATATTTTTTTGTAAATAGAAACATAATAGAAATTTAAAACACTCAGACAAATCAAACCAAACTAGACCACAGAGTATTATAATAGAACTAGCTAATCGGCTCGGCTTCGCACGGGTGTTCATACATTATATATATAAACCTTCCTCTTGAATCGCTCTATCTATTAAAAACCGCTTCAAAATCCGTTGCGTAGTTTTAAATATTTAAGCATACATAGGTACAGCAGCGACAGCGACTTTATATTAAGTAATGAAGCTAACTCATCAAGGGTAGTCATCTAGGCCCGATATTATTTGTCATCTTCATAAACGACCTAATCGATGTTCTATTCTGTCCTTGTCTACTTTATGCAGATGACCTTAAGATATTTTCAACAGTGAACAATAGTACTGACGCTCACAGATTGCAATCGGATTTAAATTCACTTTCCGATTGGTGTGATCGTAATTTCATGCAGCTCAAATGTTTCGTTATAACTTTTACTAAAAAAACAAATAAACTCGTATTTGACTATATCCTTAGGGATAAAATTCTTGAACGTAAACGTGTCGCAAAAGATCCGGGCGTGCTTTTTGATGACAAACTAACATTTCGAGACCTCTATGATAATATTGTTGACCGTATCTACCGTCTTCTTGGGTTCATTACAAGATCAACTAAAAATTTTCGACAGAGTAGAAGCTTAATTAGTATCTATTACTCACTCGTACGTAGTATGTTAGAATATAACTCGGCTATCTGGTCTCCCTTCTATAGACTACATAGCAACCGAATTGAAAGTATTCAAAGACGTTATTTAAAGATACTTAGCTATAGATGCGGCTTAGGTCGTAAACTTGCATCGTACAGTGAACGTCTGAAATACTTTAATCTGGACCCTTTATATATAAGACGACAAAATAATGACCTAACCTTGTTATATAAAATTATTCATCAACAGTTGGACCCGTCCACTCTTCTTTCTCTATTAAACTTTAATACGAGAGTTAGATCACGCAACCGTAATTATAACACCTTCTATCTTCATGTTTACTCAAATAATACTTCTTATTATAATCCAATAGATCGAATGTGTCGCCAATACAATGAAATTCTTGTCTCGAATAGCAATGTAGATATTTTTCATTTAGCACTGGTCCAGTTCTGGAGACAATTAAATTTCCACCGTAAAGAGACAAATTATATTTAATATTGTACCAATTTTTTTTTTCTTTAATATAAATAAAATTCTGTTAACATGATAATTCATTGCATTACGTAGTTATATATTATTTTCTGTTTAGTTTACTTTTCATTATATAACCTTATCTAGCTATCTAGTGTATATTGAATGCGTCTATATAATTTAGCTTTTAGGCATACATAGTGTTGGATTACAATTTTTTTTATACCACTTAGGTGGCAAACATGCATACGGCCCATCTGATGGTAAACGGTTACCGTAGCCTATGGACGCCTGAAACACCAGGGGTGTCACATACGCGTTGCCGACCCTTAAGAAACCTTAATATACCCTTCTTGAAAAACTCCACGCTGTAGTCTCTCGAGAATACCTCAGCAGGTAGTTCATTCCACAATCTAAGTGTAGGCGGGAGGAAGCTCCTGTGAAACCGCACTGTCCGAGACCACTTAGGTTCCAGCGTGTGGGGATGAATTCCCTGTCGATGGCGAGCGGTGCGATGGTAAAAGGTAGCCTTAAGCATCATGTCAAACAATTCATCAGAACACAGTCCATTGTATATTCGGTAGAACACACAAAGCGATTCGATCGAGCGAGCGATCACGAACCGTTTGAGAGATTGGGATCATCGTCAATTCTCATAGCACGTCTCTGAACCGAGTCAAAAGGACCGAGCTGGTATGCAAGTGCTCCTGCCCAAAGATGAGAACAGTACTCCATGGGCGGCGGAACTTGCTACTTATACAATAGAAGTCTCTGGTTCGCAGTGAAGTACCGCCTCGCTCTGTTCAGCAGTTTTGTACCGACCTACATGCACCTAATTATATTATTATATTGATTGTAATCTGTTTTGTAAGCTAATAAATAAATAAATAATGCTTACGCAGTAACAGCCAGCTTGAGGTGTATTCCAGATTCAATGATAATTTTGTGCGCCTCCTGTATGGTGAGTGTTGATGTGTCTATGTCATTGATGCGGATCAGCTTGTCTCCAGGTCTTATTCCTGCTTTCTGTGCTCTGCTATCAGGTTTCACCTGCAATTTAACAGTATTTCTTTTTGTCTGAGCGTTGTAATAGTAATAATTGCTTTACTTGTTAACAATTTTGGATCCAGTACCAGATGTTAATAAAGACAAGGCTCTTACAAAATCTGTTTAAATGAAGCGTACAAGTATACATTGAGTATTAAACTATATTCACTGTTTTTGATGTTAATTAATAATATATTCGTGGCCTACTCACTCTCTGAATTATTTAGTATCACATATGACTGTAAAAACATGTGCCAATTAATGATTGACTCTCCGGTATAAACGCTGATATTGAAAATTAGTCTGAGAAATCGGGATACACTCGCACCCTGACATGTTGTATTCAAAATGTACCAAGCGAAATGTGGACATGTCAGGTGTTGTTTTCTCCTCAACATCAAGAACTCCTCTGGCGAGTGACTGAGTGAGTCAGAAGTGTTGTTGGGGAGTTAGAGGAGTTGTTGGAGAGTCAGAGAAGTTGTTGGGGAGTCAGAGGAGTTGTTGGGGAGTAAGAGGAGTTGGTGGGGGAGTCAGACAAGTTGTTGGGGTGTCAGAGGAGTTTTGAGGAGTCAAAGGAGTTGCTGGGGAATCAGAGGAGGTGTTGGGGGGTCAGTGGAGTTGTTGGGGAGTCAGAGGAGTTGTTAGGGAGTCAGAGGAGTTGTTGGGGAGTCAGAGGAGTTGTTGGGGGGTCAGAGGAATTGTTCGGGAGTCATAGGAGTTGTTGGGGAGTCTGAGGAGTTGTTAGGAAGTCAGAGGAGTTGTTGAGGAGTCGGAGGAGTTGTTGGGAAGTCAGAGGAGTTGTTGGAGAGTCTGAGGAGTTGTTGGGGAGTCAGAGGAGTTGTTGGGGAGTCAGAGGAGTTGTTGGGGAGTCAGAGGAGTTGTTGGGGAGTCAGAGGGGTTGTTGGGAAGTCAGAAGAGTTGTTGGGGAGTCAGAGGAGTTGTTGGGCCGTAAATTTATAAACCATGATTGCTATTCCAGATATCCCCATCTGGAATAGCAATTATGGTCTATAAATTTACGGCCCATATATTGCATTTAACTTTTAGTCCTTTAGCTTACGATCCTACACAGTTTGTGGATTCCATACTTACATAAGTTACGCGTAATGGTGTTTTATAAAACGCGCCGCCGGCTAGATCGAAGCCCCATATGGCGTCTTCGAAGCTGACCCTCTCATGGATACCCTCGTTCCTGGACTCCCAGGAAGGCTTGGAGAGCTCGCCAGCTAGCAGAGCCGCTTCCTCCGCCTTCAGCTTCGTGTGCCTCATTGAAATCGACATGTCTGGGGGCATCACCCTGAAGTAATATAATTACAAAATCAATTTCTTGGTAGTGATTGATGATAACATCATCATGGATATATAGGATATTCCGTTGGCTCCTATAATTATATTCTATTTTACAGGTATACAAGCTCAAAATAATAGGACCTGAGTTTCATCTCACTTGTTCTTAGCTCGAAATCATTTCGAACGGTCCGTAGATTTGACATATCATAAGAGTCTGTAATAGACCTACATGAATGAAGATATTTTGATTTGATTTGATACACTTTCGAATTACAGAGCGGTATCACTACTTACTGAAATTACTCTTTCTACGAGGAACAAAAAAAAACTGTATGCTCCAAATGTAGTTTTACGGAAAGTTAATATATATTTCGATGGAGTCTAACGAAATGCTAGTATGTGTTACGATTTCTCCAACCCAGATGCCACCCTTACATTGAGAAATACGTCTGCAGCTAATATTTGGTGGCACCTCAGCACTATTTATTGTTTCTACGCACATCTGGCACATCTGTTCTTTAATATTGGACCTTATTTCAACAGGCTAGTGTATAAATCTAAATATATACAATATACAGTGTACCTTTACGACCGTATCCCAGTTGAGGTAGAGAAGTGTGTTCATTGAAAAAAATAGAAAATAGAATGGTGTCTGTTCTAATGGTATACGGCGGGGCACCAGAGGTGGATGATAGGTTCAGGATAAACCCAGGTCAGTCTATCGTGTGGATTAGAAAAAAATGAAGCACTTTATATATGTATATAGAGAGAAACAAAGAAAATATATTTATACACAATGCAATACTAAAAATGATAAAAAGATTATCAAACACAATTATATCCCAAATATATGGTATTGAAAAGGTTTCTTAGAATCATATAAGTATTATAGTAGTAAATAAATATATATATATAATCCTTACTTCCTTATTAATATAATAAATGCGAAAGTAACTGTATCTGTCTCGCTTTCACGCAACAACTAAACCAATTTAAATGAAATTTGGTACACAGATAGTCTAAACCCTGAGAATAGACACTACTTCCTAATGTACAATCCCCGTAAGGGGGTTGAAAAATGAGAGATTGTATGGAAATATCGTCATTTTTAAAGCTAGAAGCTTGAAATTTATTTTTCAGACTGTTGATTAAATATTACAGTTAGTATATAAATATATATAACAATAAAAACAGCAAATATATATAAACTACAATAAACATGTAAAACACTAAAATCGATTATCCGAAGTGTGACCCAGAATTTGTTCAGGTGCATCTAAAAGGAGTAAACCGATACAAACCCGTCCTTGCTATCAGCAAGATTCGAATTCACAACCGTTGAAACGTAACTCGGATACTAAACCACTACACAACGAAGCTAAACATAAACATGGAACGATAAAATCCATACACATTTCACGTGGTATTTTTATGGTCACATAAAATTACAGAAATTATCACATACTTAAGGATATATAAGCTCGATATACAAGTATATCCGATAAGCTTCGCATAAAGCTTCATCGTTACGATCCGTATTACATCCCGTCATCCGGCTCGACATATACCAAGTTGAAAAATGGCCAATAATTTCGATCATAAACAATTGTTGGATCTAAGAAAGAATAGAATCTAGCTTTATTTACTTATATACTCTTTATTTCAACAGGAAAATTACATTCGCTTATGCAATCTCTTCCAGGCAATCTTTGGGTGGAGGAGAAAAGACAAAAAGTGGGAGGTGGCACTAGAATAGAAGAGAAAAAAACATAATAATAATGACAAATTAATAATAATGAATAACATAACATATATAAACTGTATATACTATTTATTTTTTTTAATAGTTCAGGACAATTTATATAAAGTCATCTAATCCCAAGCTAAGCAGAGCTAGTGTTATGGGTACTAGACAAATAAAATAAATACATATTATACATAGAAAACACCCAGACCGATACAAATAATCATACTCATTAACACAAATGTTTGTACCGTGCGAGGAATCGAACCCACGAACATCGGATAGTAAAGCGGTGTGCTAAACCACTAGACCACCGAGGCTGTCAAATATAAATATTATATCTTATATATAAAATTCTCGTGTCACAGTTTTCGTTCCTATACTCCTCCGATGATGTTATGTATGTATGTACATATATACTAGCTGTCCAAGCAAACGTTGTTTTGCCTTAAAATAAAAAAAAATGTAGGGGTGGACTATCCCTAACATTTAGGGGTATGAAAAATATGTGTTGGCCGATTCTCAGACCTACTCAATACGCTCACAAAATTTCATGAGAATCGTTCAAGCCGTTTCGGAGGAGTATGGGAACAGGTGCTAGGTGCAAACGGGATTGTTAGTAATGTGGTCTGATAATCTTATAGCTAGCAATGGACCATGTCAGGTTGACCTCCACGCAGTTCCCCTGGACACCATCATGATAAAGTCTTGCTAAATTTGTCACGATAGACTTACAAATCTGCTCATCTTATCACTGGTGCCCCACTAGATCTTCGAACATCAACTCAGCCATCATAATTTCGATCCCCGTTTGAATTGGACGGGGGGTGATCAGGGGATTGAGGGGGACGGAGGGGGTTTATTATTAGTTAGATAGCCTATGAAAATTTACCATAAGATAAGCCGTATGCTGACTGCCGTGGTAGGTATTATTTGTATTGCTAGTATTGTACAGAATAGTGTTAGCTATACGAAAACCAAGGTAATTTAATTGCTTTCGTTAATGGGAAACAATGTTAAAGATAACAATCAAGCCACATGTAAGACTTTGCGACCATTAGACGCCGTTGTGAGGAAGTGCCAGTCATTAGTGTGGGTATTAAGCCGACATGAGCACGGTAGTGTAGTGTAGTGTAGTGTAGTGTAGTTAGATATGGAAGATTGCATTCTGACGACATATGAGAATTGGCACTTAAATGCTAAGGTATTCAAAGAGATAACAATAATAATAATAATAATCTCAGGACAATTCACACATTGCCGTCTAGACTCATGTTAAGTTAGCGAAAGCTTGTGTTATGGGTACTAGATAACTGATACAAATACATACAGATACCATTCAATTTATCCATTTATATTGTATGTAAATAAATTAAACATCTACTGTATCAGTGTGTTTGAAATATTAATATTTTTATTTCAATTGGAATTAGCTTGTATGTTATCAAGGTTCCTTTACAACAAGTGACTTTAATTATTCAAATATTTAGATAATAATTTACTGATACAAAAAATACATAAATATATTTTATTTCGTAAATAGTTTTACTAACATGTATTATAAATGCGAAAGTTTGTGAGTATATATGGATTTATTACTCTTTCAGACAGAAACTACTGAACCGATTTTGGTGAAACTATACAGTAATATAGCTTATAACTCAGAATAAAATATGGGCTATGATTTAAAAAGATAATATGATGATAATAAACGACGTGGGTCAGTCATAATATACATAGAAAACACCCAGACCGATAGTAACAATCATACTCATGAATACAAATATTTGCAGCGAGGAAGCGAACCCGCAACCATAGGAAGTAAAGCGGTGAGCTAAAACGTTAAATCCCCGAGGCCGTCACTATAGAAGTTAAGAATGTTTACATAATTTTTTTTTTTTTGGGCTCTTCAGGTTACGACAATTTTGCTTCCTTCCGTCGATATGCCAAACTATATTGGAACCAAAGTACTATACAGCTATAAAATTGTCTGTAACATGTAATGACTCGTCAAAACTGTAACGTCACGACCCTGTTAGGACATGTCCTCGTTGATTTGTAAGGGTCATCGGTAGGTCCGTTTATTTTCCCTACAACCATTAGTGAAGTTCAAGAGTCCGGCCCTTAGGCGCTGAACAAATAAAGACCCGGCCGGGCCATAAAATCGCCGTCCGCTCCGCTTGTGGTACGCGCGGAGCGTGACAGAAAATCGCCTATAGTTAAGAGAATGTAGCATGTTTATACAACTTACGCATCATGGAATCAACAAAAAATAACATATGTATCATTACTAGGGCCTTCGCAGGACACTGTAAATTGAACAAACTTATGGTAAACCTGTGCCTGTACACAAAAAAATCTGCAGATTTTGCCAAACTGAAGAAGAAACACCACTACACATCCTAGGTTGTAGCCCAATCATGCATAACGTATATCTCCTTTGGAACAGGTCCGTGAGGAATGTTTGGTTCTGGTGTGCCCCGGGCGGTAATGCCTTCGGGTTATCATGACAGTAGCTGATATTCCGACGAGAGGGGCGGCGCAGGACGGGCCTAACCAGAAGTCCCAAGACTGCTGGTTAGGCCCGTCCTGTGTGAAACGTGCGGAGCCGGCACTGGTCTGTGTGACAGGCAGTCTAAGGGGTTCAACTCTGCCGTCCGAAGGCGCATCCTGTATTCCGGTGCGTCTCCTCCACGGTGAGCGGAGACGGGGAACTGGGAATCCTGCCATGACTCTGTTGAGAGACACGTGCGGAGCCGGCACTGGTCTGTGTGACAGGCAGTCTAAGGGGTTCAACTCTGCCGTCCGAAGGCGCATCCTGCTTTCCGGTGCGTCTCCTCCACGTTGAGCGGAGACGGGAAGAGTTGGAACTAGGAAGAGTTCCCTCCAAGCATTAAGGAGAGCCTGCTTGCGGGTAACCTCCGCTAGGGTCGCAGTCGTTTGCGAACACAGTCGAACGATCCCGGCACTATGTCGTGGAGAAGGAATGCCGTGAGATTTTTAGTGAATAGAAATCTCAAAGTAGCCGTACGACCAACCCCTGAAACGGGCCGGTCTCCATGAGGGATTTTCCCCTCATAAATTCAAGTAAACAATGCTCTAACTAGCTACTACAAGGTCGTCGTTTCAAATGAACAAAAACAATTTTTTTTTATTTTAAATCGCCACTTATGACTAAATCTCTCATTTCGGAGCCCAAGTTTAAGCTAACACAATACATATAACATGAGGTACGGTAGGTATGTTTATATATATGAGATGAA